CACCCCCGGTTAACCTCCCATGGGGATCTTGGAGACCATGGAAATCGGATTTCTTGGGGTCAATTATCTGGGGCATTATCTTTTGCCGGAGATGCCACCAAAAGGAAATTGTGGAGGAGTCGAATGTCCTCCTTTTTCAGGGATCATTTTTGGGCCTTCCAAGGACTGATTTTGGAATTTTAGGGGTCAATTTCATGTGAAATTTTCGGTACTTTTCAATTTTAATGCAATCGAATCGCAATTCTAGCGGGAACCCCGACTTTCAGTTTCGTGACACCCCCCTCCGCCCTCCTCTTACAAGCCAGGGGGACTGGGAGGGTTTCGAGACCATGTAATTCGGATTTCTTGGAGTCAATTTCCTACTCAGCCTTGCAGTCCCTGACTTATTGCGAACTGAACCAACCGAGACAAAGGCCTGGTGCGGGTGATCTGAGATACCCTGTATCTCATTTTAAAGTTAAGACAAAAAGGCATTGTTTAAAGTGAAGACAAAAAGGCATTTTTATTTTAAGTTAAGACAAAAAGGCATTTTTATTTTCAGAAGTATTCTTGCACTTTTCCCCCCTCCTCATTATACATATAGAGGCAGTATTACATGTTGATTAAATTAGGTTAAAATTTATAGATACCGTATTTAAGTCTTCTAACAAGCTTGTTAAATCAGCTTGTTAAATCAAGCTTAAAAAGACATTTAATAATGTCTATAAATGTATTTTGTACTAATTTGTCGCTTGTACGAATAATTTAAAAAAATTAAAAAAAAAAAAAAAAAACTGCCTCATGCTCTGTTGATTCCTTTAGCGAAAATGATATATATATAAATTTATTTGATTTCAAGGTTGAAATTTTGCCCATGAATCTTGTTTAGGCCTGAACCGAAATTAAGACTAGGAGGGTGATAATTGTCGAAATTGACACTCATTGAATCACTCCAGTAAACAGGTTGAGGCCTTGGGATTGAAGACATCGCTATCATTAAGACCTTTAAATATCTTTGAATATGGTGCTGATGAAATTTTCAATGTTGTCTATCTCCGGTCAGATGAGAGTCTTTTTTTGATCTTTTATTTTTCTTTTCTCTGTATTACAGATGTTACCTGCGGATGTAGTATCAAGTTCTCTGTCCCAAGTGTACTGTCAGCAACTGTTATCTGATGAAGCTGAATCAGTGGCGGTCAAAGAAAAAATTAAAATAAAATCTGAAGAATTAGAGACCCTGGACACCCTAACGTGTCATGATTTAGCATTAGGTAATTGTTTCATTCACATTAATGAGTTTTTCATTTGATATATTTTTAACCATAACTTCTTAAACTTGTAAATCCCTTAAAACTGTTGTTAATTTTACCAGAGTTTCACATTCACAGCATCGTTGCTGTCAGGTATCCTGAATTACTTGCTAGTGCATTTATTCCTCAGTCCCAGATAGTGAGGGAGGAGCGTTGCCTTTTTGTAAGATTATGTAACTCACACATTTTCCAAATCTTTCGGTCAATGTCTTGGGCCATCAACTTCCAAAATATTTTTTGCCAATGGTTTTAGTGCGAAATCTGCAATTTTGGTCCTCCACAGAATCATACCAAACAAGGGCTGGTTGTAGATTACCCGAGGGACCCAGAAGCCGTTGAGTGTTTGCATCAAGCCTCAGAGAACCAAGAAAGGGAGCTAATCAAAATCTTTAGGTGCCCATAACTTTTGAACGGATATAGTTTTTGTATTTTGCTTTTTTGTTCCAGATTTAATGTTGAGAATGTGACCACATTATTATGCTTTAAAACTTGCGTAAAAATTAATGCTTGAACAAGTTGAGGGGATTTTCTGTTGTTAAGGCACTATTGAAGACCTGGCTGCCATTTTAAATGGCTACCATCTTGCTCCTGCCACAAAATTTGAAATGTCCCCTACCTCATAACGTTTAAATTATCATCCAGTTTGACCCCTGAAAGCTCTTAACTGCATCGTGATTTGCTAGATATTGCTCTCACTTGAAAATTAGCCATCATGCTATTGGCAAAAAGTGAAAAACAACCGGCATCTGTTGTGCTTGAACTGTTTATTGCGAAGAACTGCATTAAAACGGGAGGGTGCCTTCCCTGTGCCTTCCATTGTTGGTTGAAAATACCAATCATAAGTACCACTTGTTTTTCCATGAGATGTTCATTCATCCCTTCACCTTTCTTTCCAGCAACCTCTGATGTTGCCAGTCATTATCAACTGGCCACTTCGCAGTTCTCACCTGGAAAGGATGAAAACATTCTTGCCTCTCGCACCCCTCTACCAATTTTCCCTTCGGAGCAGGAAACAGTGCAATTAATCAACGTCCCATCAGCTGATCAGGTTATTCTTTTTCCTTTCATTCAAGAAAAAATTGGAAATCACCAAAATGTTTTTATTTATAGTGTTAGCTTAAAGAAAGAAAAGTCCTACTCTTATTTTCAGTTACTTTTTTGGGCTCTATGAGTTAAAACTGAGATTTGCGAATCGAACAGCTTGATCTTGCGTAAACTCCTTGAAAAGTTAACAGGAGCCCATTTGTTCTATTCCTTTCGCAAGATCCTGTCTTTAATTCTAGGTATCGCAATTTTTTTTACCCACATGGCATTTTTCTCTTTATAGATTCAATCAGGCAATAATAGTTTTGAAGTCCAGTATCAAGTGACTCAAAAGGGTATTCATCAATTGAACAATTTCCAGGCAGACAGTTTTCGAGACGGTCAAGAGTTCTATTCACATCTTATGCAGACGCCAACAGCATTATGTAAGTGTTATGCTCCATCGTTGATAGTTTTATTTCATCCAATTTTTGAAGTGTGATTCGTTCCTCTGCTTCAGCATCGTACCAAAGCGCGATTTCTGGTGTGTGAAGGTGTGAATACAAGGGAAAAAAGGAAATCATAAAAAGTGAAAGAATGTGCCCTGTTGAAGGACAATCACAAGGCCTTTGCACACATGATTACCAAGGAAAGTGATGGTTTTGAAGAAACCCCATTACCTCATTTTTTTTTTTCAATTCTGTTCATGATATTCTAAGTTTCGTAGCTCTAGTATATTCAGCAAACAGTCTACCTCCTTTTGAGAAAGCTTGTGAACCCCACCACAACCTCAAAAAGCCAAAAATGCACAGCTCATCAGTTAAAAGAACCAATCTAATTGCATGAAATTTTTACCCTGGCAAAGATCATTCAGTTTTAACAACCTATTATTCTTACAAGTAAGTGAGTTACTGTACCGTGTCCCACAGTAAATCCGTCATGCCTCAGTTCGCATCAGGGCCAGGCAGATGTACCCTGTTTAGCGGATTACCAGCTTGAACCGGTCTTCTTATTTTCTGCCCGGTATTTTCAAATTTTGTGCAATAATTTTGACAAGTGATCAACTATATACTGCACGCGCAGATATATAGTGGCCTCCAGGAGTGTTTTAGGAAGGTTTTCGATCAAATAAAGTTGCAAGCAATAATCGGTATTTTTCCATTTGGAGGGCTTAAAATTGCAAAATTATGTGATGCAATTCAATTATTTGTCATGAAAGATAGGGAAAACTGATGGCTACTCTCGCCCTTGCCCTAAAGCGGGGCAAGCAGTGATTGAAAGGGATAAGGCACATGCCACCCTCTATGATAGTTGATGATTTGAAAAAAAGGTTTGGAAAAAATTGAATTTAAATAAGTTAAATTGTATTGACCTAAGTGGGTCTCCAGTTTGATGATTTCGAGTCATCCTGACTTTCTGAACATTATGTTTCATGGATGATAAACGGGAGGGAACAATTATGAGGACTTCTCTGGTAACCAAGTTATTGGGGTTTCACTGTATACTTAGTGGTTTTTCTTTTATTTTTATTTTTTCTTTTAAATCGACTTTTCTTTAACATTATTAGTTAGTGAGAAGAAACCCTTCATCATAAGTAATTTCAACTAATGTGTGTTCATATTTGCTTGCTCCTCTGATTAACAGCCAAAACAACTCAAGTTGTTACACAGCCTACAACAACTGCTGTAACAACTCAACATGTTCAAGCTGCAACTCAAACTATGCCTGACTCAACCAAACTTAAACATTCAGTACCATCAAATTCTACCCGCCATATCAACGCTTCAAGCGCAAGCACAACGACAGGGCCCTCTGCAACAGGCAAGGGCAAGAAACTAAGAAATCAAGCTCAAAATAGGCAGAATCATAACCACAGCAGCATAAGTGCTGATTCGAAAGCAGGTAGAGACATTTTCTCCAACTCTCATTCTTTCTGAAAGGAAGGGAGGATTTCAGTAATCATGAGGGTGTCATATTTTTTCGGGTGTTTTTAAACTAGGGCTGTGCGAATATTCGAAAATCTCGAATATTCGAATTTGAATAATTTTTCCGATATTCGATTCGAACTCGAACCTAGAAACCCCGAATAAGCGAATTATTCGACAACATTGACTAAATTTCGAATATCCAACAAAAAAAACCGAATATTCGTACATCCGGCCATATTGAGACATAATAGTAAGAACTCGACACAGCGCGCAGTTCAAACTACTTGTTTTGAGGTTAGGTAAACAAAGGCCAAAGTTTCATTGGTTCATGCAGCGCTTTGCACTTGATTAAGAAGGATCAATTCAAAATTCGCTCCACTTGAGTTCCACCTAATATGTCATCAACATAGCGTACAAATGAGCGAATGTACTAACCTCCATAACCTATCCTTCTCCGCCCCGCGCGGCACCCCGGTCTTTACAATGTTCTTAGACTGTCTTCACAAGATCAGCATTGATGTGAAGTAAAATCGAATAAAATGGATTTTCGGACAGTAAGAAGCAGTTTTACAGTTCCACAACAGTTCAATCAATTGGTCTTCCTGTAAGGAAACAATTTTCTCTCCCTTCTTTTCTTTCCCCAGCAAATCAAAATGTTCGCAAAACCATTTGATAATTAAATGAATTGATTAATTCTTATTTTTTTATCCATAATAGTAATTTCTTTAATCAAAATTTGAAAGTTAGAAAGAAAAACAATTATTTATTCAATTTTTACTTCGACCAACACAGAGGTTGGTTTTGGTCAAAAATAGGTAAAAACTAAAAATATTTGATTCAATTCGACATCAAAAAAACCACATTCGCACAGCCCTATTTTAAACCCTTGCCTCCTAATGTTTTACTTGCTCTTTCATGTCATTTTAGGATGTACGTAAAATGAAAAGCTCTGATGCTGCAGAGTTGATATTGTCAACAATAATTCAATAATTTTATTCTATATTCGACCAATTTCAGCAATGATCTGAAGGGTTGATCATAGTGCCCATTGGCTCAAAAAGCTTTTTTGCACCATGTTCTAACAATGAGTCAGTTAAGCTCGGGAGGGATTTGCCTGCAAATAGTCGAATCTCACAGTTTCGGTACGAGCAGAACAATGCGCACGTTAAAATTTCACGAAAAATTGTCTTCGCGGAGATATAACGCTTCCTTTTTAGGGATCCTCGAAAACATGTTTGAACCGACCGCCGTGAATCTTCGAATCTACGCGTCATAGACGGGAAGATGGCGGCGACGAAGCCAACCTGCTTACTACTGCCCCGCTGCCGTTGTTGACATCACGATTTCTCGTTTGAGGTTAAGTTCTGTGTGAATGTTTCATATCCTACATAAATCTATATCATATTCTGATTGAAAAGCTTAGAGAATTAAGAACAATGGGTATGAATCTCAAACAAAGTAACCTACATAACCTCCGATTAACCGATAAAAACACACCGCCAACGCGACGCCGCCGTGTATTCTTCCACTACGCATTCCGCCGCCATATTGATCGTGACGTGTACATTCGAAACCTACAAGCCCGCAGTTCAAGCGCCGTTTTAGGCCACCCTAAGTTTTGGCACTTTCAAGTAAACTTTTCTCCTGTTTGCAGTCATAAAAAAAATTAGGAAAAAAACTGTAAGCTTCGGTCACTTACTACTTTCGAATGACACAATAAAAAAAATGACTTAACTGACTCATTTTCGAAACATTCTTGTCTCCATTACTCCGAAAGATCACTTGAGAGTTTGATGAAAAGAGGGTTACAATGCAACTATTTCATCGCATACTGTGCTGCAGAACAAGTGTAGCCATGACCCCTCCCTCCCTCTTCAACCCCTGAGGTTCAAAATCAGATTTTTAGTTCTCCAATGTTCTTTAGCTGCTTTACATTACCCTCAAACAAGACTGTACCTTTTGACTAAATTTTTTATGCACACAGAAACACATTTTTATTGCATGGCCTGTTTTTCCCCCATTTTAACTAATGCCATTTACACTGAAAAAATAAGGTGCTAGCAAGAAATTCAAGAGATAATACAAGAGTTTCAAACTGCACACACATCTTGAAGGGACTTACTGAAAAAGGAAATACATCAGGGAGGAAGGATTTTTGCAAGTTTCTACATACGGGACACCTCAGAGTTAAAACCATGTGGAAACATCGGCTGCAGCTTTTTGCAGCAATACTATTTCTCTTCTTTTTGGGTTAAATGTTCAACCTTGGGTACTGTTCAAGGGCCGTTCGACAAATAATGTCTCTGTGGTCCGAAAAATGCCTAAAAACGATTTACTTTTATGAATTAAAAATGAAAATGCAGATTCTAATGTACAAATCCGGAGTTTATTTTTGTGTCTCCAGAAAGTTTCCGACAAAATTCAGAGGGGTTGCAACTTCGAAACATCAACTGCTTGCTGTACTTCATCATTCAGTCTGAAATGAATTTCTGAAGTATCTCTATGATGGGGGAACTATGTATCTGGATTGTAAAGCAGTGTGGCTGGTTTTTTATCTTTTAACCAAATTCAAAAATGTGTATTAAAAAACTGGCGTTTCCAACAACCTGAAAAATTAATTTTTATCCAAATTTGACAAATTGGAATATTTCAGGGTTTCACATGAGGGCATAATGCCTCAATTTTTGAATTTGAAAGAAGGCTTTGATGTGTCATTAGGTAAGGAGCCTTGTGCAAGGGTAAAAAATACAAACAATTTTACACGGTGCTCAAACAATTTACAAGACTCAGGCTGAATTCCAATGTATGAAGAAGAACTAAAACTAAACAAAATCCCTTTGTCAGAGCCTATCCTTTAAGTGTGCTAATATCAAGACACTCCTTTTCAAACACTCTCAATGATGAATTGAATGAATTTCCATCAGTTAGTAACCTTTGCAACTAAAACATTGATCTCTGCTCTTTGCTTGAACTTAATGCATACAATTGGCTTTATTCTTTTGGTGATGATTTTTGACTCAACTCATCTAATGAGTTTATCCTAAGTTTGTTCAGAAGTTGACCTTTGGTTGGATTGGATGCCTTCGTGTACAGCAAGATATCCTATCTTGAGGAGAAATGAAAGAGCAGGAAACATTATGTTTCGAACAACTCATTTACATGAATCAAACTAGACACACAAGAGAACCTTATGTAATTTAATTGTTCCATAATGAATGATTACCCCAGCTTTATGTGAATATGCTAATTTGATATTGAGTTCAAGACTAGCTTGTCTTCAAGATCGAACGCTGTGTGGCATCATTGAAATTGTAGTCTGGCTCAAGTAATAGAAAAAGGTAGCTGTTTGAATGAATTACTTATTTTTCTTTGGAATTTCAAATCTCTCAAGTGTCTTACATTCTTTCAAAATACTCATCATTGAAGTTTATTTTATCATGAATATCTTTATTAGTGGTAGCTCACAAAATAGTCTTAATATATACAGGGTGATCCATAAGTCCCTTCAACCCCATCTAACTTTTTACCGAATTGAGGTAAAGATTTGAAAGTAAGGGGATGTTCCGAGGTCAAAAGGGACTGTGTCAAAGTTCTGTTTTTCGGCCCCCCTAAAATTTTCAGGGAGGCCCCCTTGGGGGTAACGGACCCCAATTTCTTCTTTTCAAATAGGAAGACCCCTTCTGTGATAGCTTGCTGGAAAGAACATAAGAAAAGAAAACTTTTGCTTAAACCCAAAGTCAATATCTCAGACCCTTTCAAAATGGCCGAAAATTCACACCAGTTATTTGTCAATGGAATTTGCGCGAAAATCAGTCGTTAGCGGTATTTTGACACGAGAATAACGAATTTGACGTTGGGTTTAAAAAAGAATAATTTCCAAAATGGCCTCCGGTTAAAGTTCAAAATGACCGAAAATTGTTTTTTTTTTTTAGAAACCTAAGTTTAAATGTGTTCATCCTCTGACAAAATACCCGTAAGTTCCAAATTTCAGGCAAATCCATCAGCGAAAAACCGAGGTGGCAATTTTCGGCCATTTTGAACTGTAACCGGCCAATATTTTAAAACGGTTTGAGGTGTTGACTTTGGGTTTAAGTGAAAAGTTTCCTTTTTTTATACTCTTTCGAACAAGCTATCACTAAGGGGGTCTTCCCATTTGAAAAAAAAAGTTGGGGTCCGTTGCCCTGTAAGGGGGGCCACCCTGAAAATTTTAGGGAGTCCAAAAAGTAGCTCCCTTTGACCTAGGAACATCCCTCAAGTTTCAAATCTTTACCTCAATTAGGTAAGAAGTTAGAGGGGGTGGAAAGGACTTTTGGATCACCCTGTATTATTATTGTGCCCTATTTAAGGTTTATCTACAGCTGCGTGAAGTAAGAAATTTCTCCGCGCAGGGGGCGCCACTGCTGTGTTTTGATTTTTTGGTCCACGCTATTAGAGTCCGTACAGCTCCTAGTAAGTTCTTGAGCTTTTATGAAAGTTAGGGGAACTTCTGTTTAAATCGAAGAGTCATAAGTTCTGGCCATAACATTCTTCTTCCTATTGACACTAAAAGCGACGTAAAGAGAAACTTCAGAAGCTCTGAAATTTGATCCCAGTTAAAAGTAGGGTTAAGCATGATGACCTTGATGCAACCAATCGCTCTCAGCGGTTGCGGATATCTCTCTCCCACCATGAGCTGTCTCTCTTGCACTTACAGATATTCCGTAAGAGAAACTGGGATCAAATTGTAGCTTTCATTATTAAACTTTCAAAGCTCGCGTTTGTTTCTAAGGATTCCAGACGTATGCTGCTAGAACTTATGAGTCTTAGAATTTAAGATATCTATTGTGATATTTAAATATTCACTGATTTCGGAGTCGGATTTTAGCAGCGCGACGTGGTGGATTTTTTCAGAACTACGGCTGAAGATTAACCTTAATTTTGGAACTTTGATCAACTATTTATTGAAGTCAAGTATAGCTGTACTCATTTCATACTCATTTCATCAAGCACAGAGCAACTTCTTTTATGCTTTACTAAATTTGAAATTTTGTTCTCAGGTTTTGCCAGTGGAGGGAAGGAAGACAGTAGAAGGGATGAAACTAAACCTCCTTCTGTCATTGATGTTGATTCTGAAACAGACAGTAATCATGACACTGCATTAACCTTAGCTTGTGCTGGAGGTTATGATGAGCTTGTGGAACTTTTACTATCAAGAGGAGCTGATATTGAGCACCGTGATAAGAAAGGTTTTACACCATTGATCTTAGCTGCCACAGCAGGGCATGAAAAAGTTGTCGAAGCATTACTTAATCATTCTGCAGACATGGAGGCACAATCTGAAAGGACAAAAGATACTCCTCTATCATTAGCTTGTTCTGGCGGTCGTTATGAAGTTGTAGAGATTTTACTGGCACGAGGGGCAAATAAAGAACACCGAAATGTTTCTGATTATACACCTCTTAGTTTAGCTGCATCTGGTGGTTATGTCAATATCATTAAATTATTGTTAAGTCATGGTGCTGAAATCAACTCTCGAACGGGAAGCAAGCTTGGTATATCTCCTCTCATGTTGGCAGCCATGAATGGCCACACAGCAGCCGTGAAGCTCTTACTTGATATGGGAAGTGACATTAATGCCCAGATTGAAACCAATCGCAACACAGCCCTTACTTTAGCTTGTTTCCAAGGTAGACACGAGGTTGTTAGTTTGCTGTTGGATCGGAAAGCCAATGTTGAGCACAGAGCAAAGGTAATTCTTCTGTTGCATTGAAAAATACATTGTTAAACACTGCAAGACGCCAATTGCAGGACTGATTTATTAACATGCTCTCTGTTAACCTGTGTTTCGATGTTTTTTCTCAGCAAGCTAACATATGTTTTTGTAACACATTTCAAGTTTTATTTGTTTCATGTTACTGAAATGGTGAAATTTACTTTAGAACAAGATCCAAGGTTTTGCATAACAGAAGAGAGAAAAGGGAAAAAGAGGAAGGAAAAGAGATGGAGAGAGAGACCGAGGAAAATTAATTAATCGGGAGCAAAAATTCTGAACTTCATGAAATAACTCCGCAACTCCTGATTTCTATTGTTTCACTGATTCCAGTATGCTGATTCTATGTTTTTAATGGTTTAAATCACCGTGTTCACTAATCCAATTTGTATGGGATGCCTCAAGTTTTTCAAAAGAACTGAAATTTTAAGGATGGTCCAGAGATTTTCCAACCCTGCGTTAATGAGTCTATTGAATCAGTCATGGAATTGCATTTTGATAATTTAAGCTTGCAGATATGTAGAACATAGCATTATCCCTCTTATGGTGAAATTATTAATGGAGATATCACCCTCCAAAAAATATGGTGTTTGAAGTCATCCACCACAGAAGTCCAAACTGGGGTTTCTTTCACTGCGGATTCGTCTTTGTCGGTTCACTTTTTAAGTTAGGCATGCATGGTTCAAAAGTAGAAACATATCGACAAACAGTCAAAAACAGTAAGTGACTTTGCAGTGAGGAAGAGCAAACTCATTTAAAAAGTAGGCAAGAGGGTACACAATCTTTCAGCAAAAGAAAAAAAAATAAAAAAAAAAAAACGAACAAACTGAGCTTCTCTGTCTCTTTTTAACAATCTTGCAGAGCTCCCATTTTCTATTATCTACTTTAATTGTATCTCTTAAGTCTTTCGATGAGATGCATCTGATTCTTGTTGTTAACATGCAGCTGTGCTGCACTATGTTTCTGCTGCTGAAATGATAAGTTACCTCCGACATCAACAATAGACTGATTTAGTGACTGCGTCATTTGATACAATATCGAACTCTTGATTCAAACCAAAACAAATTAACATAACATGATGTATGAATTCTTCATGAGTTAATAGTGTTAATTTATTGAAATTTAGTCGTTGACCAGTTATGAATAAATTGAAGACTCATTAAGCCCGAGAACTTTCGATTGTAAGAAACCCTTGGATGCATTTCACAACCAAGGGCGCGAATCAGAAACAAGATCCTGTGCTTGTTTATATTTGAACCAAGGGTTCGATATTCCATCAAATGACATAGCCTGTAAATCAGTCTATGATATATTCTGCAGAGTGGACTTGCGGAAGGCCTCACTGCTCTGAGGCTCTCTGCATCATTTTGTCTCAATATCCATAAGGTCTACAAGGGATATGAAATTAAAATGATGCATTGGTTCAGCAAAAAATTTTACAATCCATTTTGTTGCATATGACCTATGCAAAATTGTCACATGCGACAGTGCACATTCCGTTATGAAAAATTTGCCTTAGTGTAGAACCCTTCTCCAACATAGGGAAAATTCAATGGACACCCAGGGAAAGTGGATCCTTCTAAAAAGTGGCAACCCAAATGTTATTTCGCATGCATGAACGCAGCATTATTCCTAATCTTGCCACTTCGCTCTATGTCTTTCCTCTTGAGTGGGAGCGCTTGAAGAAAAAACTCAGCTCTCCAGTCAAATTGAAAACCTAACCACAAGTTTGTTCCTTACTGACATTAGCTATGCTTTTCACAGACTGGATTAACACCTCTTATGGAAGCTGCAAGTGGAGGGTATGTGGAGGTGGGGCGGGTCTTGCTGAGTAAAGGAGCAGATGTAAATGCCTCGCCTGTACCGTCATCACGAGATACTGCATTAACTATTGCAGCCGACAAAGGACATTATCGCTTCGTAGAATTACTTATTTCAAGGTGAATGTAAAATTTTGGCTCTTTTATAATTATTTTGTTTTTGACGAGCATTTTTTCACACAAATTTATTTTTGCATGTTGGGACTGTTTTAAAAAGATATGGCAGAAACTAGACTGTAGAATTAGAAATTAGTCATAGACAGAAGGAACCAAGTATGATATTTCATTAAGTTGAATTTATAATCTACGTAGTAGCCAAAGAGGTTGTTCGAAAATCGCCGATTTTGCCCCCCCCCCCCCTGGATTTCGCCCTTTGCTCAGATGTTGTACCAAGTGTCCCCAATGCTTGGGCAAAATTTCAGCCCCCTCGGATAATTAGGGAGGAGGGGGCAGGGGAGCGAAGTTGCAATTTTTCAAAACCTTAAAAATCGATATCTCGCGAATGGTTTGAGTGTAAGTGTTGCGGTTTGCGCTAAAAAACGTTAAAAAATATTCTCCACTAGAATATTAATGCTTTTTGCACGGTTGCATAATTTATCGTAGTCATAAATCGATTTTGAAGGTTCGACTTTTTTTCGTTTTTTGTCTCTCCGCTGCATGCAATCGTTGCTACATGAATTAAAACCTGTCGAGGTGATTTTCCATGAAATTCTGCATCTACCACACTTTGCTTGACCTTAGGGAAATGATTTGTTTTTGAGTTAAAGCGATTTTTCTGTGTGTTCCCAGTTACGTGCGGGCGGTATATCGGCGGCGCTTCATCCTGCGCGGGCGAGGCAGAGGTTATTTCACCACCAGGGCCTTATATTCATGCTGTAGGGTGGAATTATCGGTTTTTTTTTCCTCCCCCCACCCTTCTCCAATAAATATTTTTTTATACTTCGTTCTACAGGGTCTTTATCAGGGCTGTACCACGTCTTTTCCACGGTTGGTTTAGGTAGTACGAAAGGGGGGGCCGCAGGGTTGAATAGGGAATTGATCCCAAGGAATCCGAATTTCATCGTCCCGAAACCAACCCCCCCCCCCCTTGGGGGGTAAAGAAAGGGTCACGATCCCAAAAGTCGGGGTTCCCGAAAGAATTGCGATTTGATTGCAATAAAATTGGAAAGAGAAATTATCCCTAAGAACCCTAAAGCGGACCACTTATCGCCAGAAATTATCTCTTAAAGACGGGGACAGTGGCCCCCTCCATACTTTCTCTTTGGTCAAAAATTGACGTAGATTCTCCAGAAAAACATGATATCCCAGGTAATCGACCCCAAGAAATCTGATTTTCATGGTCCCGAAGCCCCCCTAGCCTCCTCCCCCTTGGGAGGTAAAGAGGGGGTCACGATCCCAAAAGTCGGAAGACATTTTGACTCCCTTTTTTACCCCCCCCCCCCAAGGGGGACATGGGGGAGGGGGGTTGGTTTCGGGACGATGAAATTCGGATTCCTTGAGATCGATTCCCTATTCAACCCTGCGGTCCTCCACTTTGTACTACCTAAACCAACCGAGAAAAAGACCTGGTACGGGTGATCTGGGACACCCTGTATAACGAAGTGTAAAAAAATATTTATTAGTGAAGGGTGGGGGGAGGAGAAAAGATCGATAATTACACCCTACAGCATGAATATAAGGCCCTAGTGGTGAAACTACCTCTGCCTCGCCCGCGCAGGATGAAGCGCCGCTGATATACCGCCCGCGCCTAACCGGTAACACACAGAAAAATCGCTGTAACTCAAGAACGAATCATTTTCCCAAGGTCGAACAAAGTGTGGTAGATGCAGAATTTCATGGAAAACCACCTCAACAGGTTTTAATTCACGGAGGGACGATTGCATGGAGCGGAGAGACAAAAAACGAAAAAAAGTCGAACCTTCAAAATCGAAAAAATCGATTTATGACTACGATAAATTACGCAACTGTGCAAACAGCATTAATATTCTAGAAGAGAATATTTTTAACGTTTTTTAGCGCAAACCGCAACACTTACACTCAAACCGTTCGCGAGATATCGATTTTAAAAGTTTTGAAAGAATTGCAACTTTGCTCCCCTTACCTCCTCCCCCCTAATTATCCAAGGGGGCTGAAATTTTGCCCAAGCATTGGGGACACTTAGTACAACATTTGAGTAAAGTTTGGGCCAAATCTAGTGGGGCCAAAATCGGTGTTTTTGGAACAACCTCTTTAAATGGTGATAGCTCAGTTCTTTTATTTTCAAAACTTAGTGGATCAGTAAAACCTGGATACAATCAGTAGATGCTGATAAGAGAAAAAGGTCCAACACAGCACTGAACCTTATTTAACCCACTCTGCTGTCTCATGGATTTGCTCTTCAATTCTCGGATACCCACAAGTTATATGGTTGTGCAAAAATTACACCCAAGTTCCATAATGAGGTGTTCTGGAAAAAAAAGTAATGGGCGCAATAGTATAGGAATTGGTAATGTATGGAATTTTAGCAATTAATTATACAAAGGGTAGGCGGGTAGGGCTGTTCTATCGGTTGTCGGTAAGTTACCAAAACAGGGCCGTTAAGAAAAAGATTCGATAAGAGCGCTCTTGTCGATAGTGATCAGAGTTTTCGGGGCTGACGAAAATAAGCTGTTGCCATTTGTACATCTATTTCACGCGCCGCCGCGCCAGGCAATCTGATAAACCGACGTACGGGGCAACAATGCATTGAGTGCGAGCTCTCAAAAATCCAACAAGGCCAGCTGTTAAAGATATCATCGCACTGTCGGCACTGCCGCCAGTTTCAATAAGAGACGACATCGATACTGTTCCGGCAAGAATTCGTTTGAACACCCCTATAGGCTGGTGTAAACATGTGACCATATGACCAGCCTAACTGTACTCATAATTTTCGTGAACAAAGAATTGGCTACATGATTGTTTACTTTGGATTATCATAATTCAGTCATTTTCCGGACGATTTTCAATAAACATTTTAATATTACTGTGTCTTAATTTCAGTCGTTGCATCCAAGTTGAAGTGAAAAATAAGAAGGGAAACTCACCACTCTGGCTGGCAGCTAATGGGGGACATCTACCTGTTGTGGAACTACTTTATAACGTTGGAGCTGATATAGACTCGCAGGATAATCGGAAAGTATCATGCTTGATGGCAGCATTTCGAAAAGGCCACGTTAAAGTAGTGAAATGGATGGTCAATCATGTAACTCAGTTTCCAAGTGATATTGAAATGACACGATACATCTCTACCGTCAATGACCAAGAACTTCTGAACAAATGTAATGAGTGTGTTAAAATAATCACCATAGCCAAAGACCAGCAAGCCGCCAAAGCAAACAAAAATGCCAGTATCCTATTGGAAGAACTGCACATGGAAAGAAGTAAAGAGGAGTCGAAGAAACAAGCAGCTGCAAAGAAGAGAGATCGCAAAAAGCAAAAGAAGCGAGATAAAAAGGAGAGCAAAAAATTTGTTGCTGAGAACGCTAAAAATGAAAGGTACAGTGAAGATCCAGATGAAGAGGAGATAGAGGAAGAATATGAAGAAGAAGATGAGGAGGAAGAAGAGGAGGAGGAAGAGGAGCAGGAGCCACCCTCCGAAGAGGACTTCCTCAAACGTATGTTGATTTTTCATTTAATCTGTTGAGTATCTCAAGTTTAGTTGAATTTTGGTTCTTCCTCTATTAGGGCAATTTTAACTCTTTGTAAATTAATTTCGAAACAATGCCAAAAAGAAAGAACCTCTTTAGTTAAAGTGGGGATTGCTGAAATTTAAAAAACTCAAAACATCATTTACTTGGATGCAAAAAACAAAGACCATGTTTTCAATGTCAATTTTGGAAGTATTGACTATCTCCTATTGTCAGCCTCAGTGGTGTAGTGGTCAAGGCAGTTCGCTGCCAACACTGAGGTCTCGGGTTCAATCCCCGGAGGTGACTGATATTTGAGGCCACTCAAATATCAGTCATCGTGACTGTGGATGACTATGCCACTCCAATACCCTGACCCTTGGAGGTAACAGGGTGCGGGAGGGACATGGTCACCCAGTAAGTAATCCGTCTGCACTGTTCGACTGGGTTGTGAAAAATCGGTAATCACTCGTAGTGTGCGCGACTGCCAGCGCTACCTATCAGTGTAGATTGCAACAACACAGTCCAACTCGGTGGAGGCGTGGCCGTGCTCCGAAATTCCGTGCTCTGTAGCGTCTGCCACAGTCTTTGATAAGACCTTCCGTTGGCTATCAGACGGCCTTGCGGGAATATAGAGGTTACACAATGTGTCAATAGTACGAAGTTAAAAGTTAAGGAGCACGGTCCAACTTTGGGGTGCACGGTGGCAGTAGCCAGTTGCCTTGGCCCCTTGGGGGCGCCTTGCCGGTCAGCCCGGCCTTTACTTACTTACTTACTTACTTACTTACTTACTTACTTACTTACTTTACTTACTTGACTATCTCCTATTCCAACTTGTTGATGCTCAAAACGTGAAGAGTCATGACACGCTGCCTGGCAGAATAGATAATAACTTGATAAAAATCTAAAAATCCATCCTCAGATGAAAAAATGCCCGCAGCAGTCACACTGTCACTCCCAAAGAAGGAGGGCGGCAGACCCTCCAAAATGACGCTTGATCAAGTATTTCAGTGAGAAAAGTTAGGAGTTTTTTTAAATTTTAGCGATTTCCATTGTATTCAAGTTTCCTCTGACCATTCCCATTGCCATCCTGATTTTATTCTGTAGTCTTAAGCGTAGACCATGATCATTTCAGGGGGCCTGTCCCTAGATTCAGGTCTCACTAACTAAACCGAAATGCCATATCAGATAATCTTCAAAATTTTCTAAAGGGATCTTAGAATCACGTAGAATAGAAGTCTTGAGAACTACTTGTTGCACAGCTTCAATAACTGGTCCAGGTCAAGGCAGCCTGTCCTATACTGATCAGAGTGTTTGTTTTGGAAATAAGTCATATACCATGAAGTGCAGGTAATATTAAGGCGCATTTCAAAGGGTTTCGTTGTTCCAAGATTACAACCCCTCAGGTGACCTCCTGCAGGATGGGGGTGTCCTGTCCCGTCCTCCACCCCTTAAAGCAAGGTGGCTAAAGGACCCCGCACACCTCTTATGGGAAGCTGCACCATGAAGAATTGCCCTCTGACTTATGTCATTCGATTCTCCTCAAGCTGCTGATCAAAAGTTATAATTGCGCCAACTTTCTACAATGCACAGTTTTCGCAAAAAACCGAAGAGAAGATTCAATTATTCGGCAATAAAAAGCCAGAAAGATTCCTCATTTCAGTGCTAGAGTGAACAAATCACGGGAACTCCTGCACTGAGCGGCAGTCTTATCTCTGATTCGGCTCGCCGTTTTGCTTGACCTTCCAAATGAGATTCTTGAGGAGCATAAGAACAGGAAAGTCTGAACGTCTACCGGACGAGTGCGGGAGGGAGATAGCCCCTGAGTCGGCAGGTACAGATAAGAAGACGGACACGCGTTACGTTTTTTCCTTATTTACATTGGGCCTGTCCTCAAATGTTTTGTTCTTTTTTATTCCTAGTCGCCGAATAATTGAATCTTCTCTTAGGTTTTTTTGCGAAAACGGTGCATCGTAGAAAGTTGGCGCAATTATAATTTTAGATCAGCATCTTGAGGAGAATCGAATGACCTAAGTCAGAAGGCAATTCTTCATGGTGCAGCTTCCCATAAGAGGTGTGCGGGGTCCTTTCATGAAAAAAAACGTAACATTTCACGTGAAATATTTCAGGAAAGGAAGACTGATCGGTCTTATGGGAAAAGCGGGCACGGTTAAATCGGCTGGTGTTTTGATATGTTGTAGGTCTTAACCTATTGATCAAAAGTGTCAATGGGCGTTTCTTCCTATCTCGAAGTTTTACCCCCCATTTTGTTTTACCCCCCAAAGTTGCCAATTCAGCGTATAATTGGTAGTTTTGAAACCCGGGTTTGTTAGTCGCCTGTAAGATTCTTTAATGGTTTTTGAGTCTATTGTATCCTATGAATAGACTAGAGACCATCCAAACTCAAAAACTGAACAATTTTGCCTCATGGGGAAGGGGGGGAGGGTGTTTACGCCACCGACTTCAGCGTCAGCGAGGCGCATTAAACCGATTGTTTCGCCATGTTTTGGAGAATTTTTTATGCAAATGATTGCGACTACATCTTAAAAGGTCGACCAAGATACAGCTCTGAATATACCTCCCCGTGGTGGCGGGGGAGGGGGGGCGAAAAGTGCGCAACCGATCTCGGGCAGCAAAACTGGCTGTTGCGAGTTGCAGCAAACTGATGGTTTCGTCATGTTTTGGAGACTTTCTTATCCGAACGAGGCCGACTGCATTCCGAAAGGTCTACTGAGATGGAGCACGGAATATGCTGTAAGAAAATGGAAGCCTCTCAATCTGCACCCTCCCTCGCAATAGGATCTCTCAGCATAGGTCAGTGTGGCACTGATACTAGTATACTGACACTTTTTACCACCATCACTCATACATAATTCCAAGGGTCATTTTTAGCTGACATGCATTTCCAACTGAGCACAATAATGGTGCAGATGATTCCCTTGGCTGAGGCTATATGACGTCGGTAGATTTCAGAAATACATCATCTAGGTGATTTTTAAAATGAAATCGCTCATCATACCAGCGCGCATTAAAAACTTTTGCAGAATGTCGACTGTTTCATAATGAAGCCAATTGCCTTTCGCCTCAAGATTTAAAAAGAATGTCTCTGCTTGAGTCAATCCCTTTTAAATCACCTGACACTACCCGCCTCATGTCAGAGCCGCCCAGAATACCGTCCCGTTGCGACTTTAAGATGCAAGTAGATAAAAGAGCCAGTGAATATTACAATTAAATTGGGGGAAAAGAGAGGATTTTAAGCAGCACTGAAATTAAATATTCTAATTTACATCTTAGGCTTTCAAAACTTATGACTTGGAATTTTTCCCAAATAAAAGCTCCTTTATTCAATGCAATATTTGAATAATTCTCTCATTATCAACCTCTGTTTTTATGAGACTGTTGCTCCCTGGGTACCCAATTTGAAAGGCTTGGGTGAACCAATTGATGAGGCGAGCTCGCTGGGATTTTTTTACGTAATCAGAAAATCTAAGAAAAAAACAAGGTCATGTATCTCTTCTTTTTATTTTATATTTTTTCCTTTTCAATAGCAACTAACCTCTTCCCTCGCCAAAATTCTGTAATGCATCAGAATATGCTGAAAATTGAATGTTGCGTTAAATGGTATTGAGTTTTAATCGTACTGGCCACGTTAAAAGTACCACTATACTAGTGTCAGTGCCTCATTGACCTATGCTGAGAGATCCTATTGCGAGGGAGGGTGCGGATTGAGAGGCTTCCGTTTTCTTACAGCATATTCCGTGCTCCATCTCAGTAGACCTTTCGAAATGCAGTCGGCCTCATTTGGATAAGAAAGTCTCTAAAACATGATAAAACCATCGGTTTGCTGCAACTCGCGACAGCAAGTTTCGCTGCCCGAGATAGGTCGCGCACTTTTCGCCCCCCCCCCCCCCCCCCCCC